TGGATCGTCCATGCACGATCATACATGTAAATCACCAGTTTCTGAGAGCAAGTAGCCTTCTGGGAATTGGCAAAGTAAAACTTGCTCTTGGTAGCCTCAAAAGAGTACCATAATCCACAATCTGGGTGATTGTCGACATAGTTGCAAAAATGGTCGACTGCTCGCCTTGATCCCATAGCTCTAGTGCATCCAATGTCCAGGATTGCAATAGTCGGCGGGAAGCGATTCTCAGTCAAAAATGAAATGGCCTGCATCTCCTTCACTTCTTCCTCAGCGCTCATAAGCGCAAAGCCATCAGGAGCCTTTGTGAGCATCTCCTTTGACAAAGAGTACCTCACAGGGGCACTCATGCCATTGAAGATCGTCTCACCATTGTTGACCGCGCAGTCAGCTTCATCTTGACATGAGGTCATCATGCCTGACAGCAAGTTCACCTCACTGTCATGGACTTCAGCTGCTGCTGTCACACAATGTGCAAAGAAACCTTGTTGACCTCCTGATGCTTGTGAAGATCTTGAAGGTGCAGGCAAAGAACGTGGCTGTTGTTGATTTGCATAGTTTGCATCTTGTTTGCCATCTCCTTTATCTTTTCCTTTTCCTTTCTTGCCTTTTCTCTTGCCTTTTCCTTTTCCTTTGTGGGAAAACCATGCTTCTTCAAGCTGTTGCCAAAAGTCATTGGCATCATCATATTCTCCTTGAAGATAGTCATTCATATCTTCGGCAAGAATGGCATCATATGCTACTTGGTTTGACTCCCAAGTGTCCTCATAAGGATTCTCTTCATAATACTCATCTGGAAAAGTTGTCTGTTGCTCATCAGCAAAATGGCCTTTACCTCGTCTCTTTCCTTTTCCTTTTCCACGAGGTCTGAAAAATCTGCGGCCTGATCTTCCTTTACCTTTTCCTTTTCTTCTTCCTTTTCCTTTGCCTTTTCTGGCTCTTCTTCCTTGGAATCTCCTTTGGAACCACGAGAAGTTTTGATCATCATATACCCAAAAGACATCGTCCAGGGCATCTAAAAATCCTTCTGTTCCATCTTCTTCATCTTCGGCCCAATAGCCAAATGTACCATCGAGTTCTCCTTCTTCCATCACGAGGAATGATCTTCTACCTCCAGCACCTGTCGGCTGCATCAAAGGATTGTCTACTGAAGTCTTTGTCGTGCAGAACATCTCAATGAAAACTGTCCTCAGCTCTGTTGTAGTGTATTGCTGCAGGACCCTGCCACGATGAGTCATCAAAGAAGTCAAAGTGTTTCGCTGGTCCTGAGACAAATCTGCAAGTGACAGCATGAGTAAGGCAATGAGATTTTCTCCTAGAGGAAATTCGTTCTGATGAAAAGTCCTCATATTGCCATTGATGGTCTGCATGATTTCCTGAATCCTTTCTGCCGTTGGTGCTACTCCAGTCAACGCTGCATCTGCCTGCATCTGAACTAGGACCTGTGGATGTGCTTGAGTGACTGGTTCTAACATGTCCATCCAACTGCTCATAAGCCTTTGGAGTAAAATCTGGAATCTTGTCATCCATTTCATCATGTCAGCTGATCCTCGATTGAAGCGCACGAATTGCATAAATCTATACAGGAATACATTGGTTGATCCTTTCACGAAATATGGTCGTAGTACTCGTTTGAAATATTCTACGCCGGCTCCTGGTGGATCATTTGCCTTCAATGCATCTCTGTTTAAAACACGCTTGTATACAGCTGCTTCTCCTTCTAATCTGTTTCTCAATGCTGGTCCTCTCTTCTCATCTTCCAGCTCGGTGATATCACACCAATCGTCTATGGCATCCTCATAGGAAACCATGAAGTCTTTCCATCATAAGATGGGGGCACCTTTGTAGTGACCTGTGTTGTCATTGCTATTGCTGCTGGTTCTCTTCTCACATGCCTATTCACATAGGCTGCTGGCTCATAAGCCACATCCGCATCAGGCTCTTCCCAGTCGTCTATCCAATCCATGGCTGTTTGCCCACTAGCAAGTCTATGCCTAGGAAAGGAGCTCACCTGGGTCTTCCAGGATCACTGCTCCGCTACCACTGAAAGAGTGACTAGGGCGTACACGGTAGAGGTGCAGACCGCTAGTGTCTTTTATGCGCAGAGTCTTATCCTCTTGCTCTTTGAGCCTTGAAGCAGTCAAGTATGGACACACTATATCGGCTGTTGGAGTGGAACCCTGTACAGGTAGGCTCTACTTTTCAGACCGCTAGTGTCTTTTGCTCACGCAGAGTCTTATCCTATATCCCTTGAGCCTTATGGCAGTAAAATATGCGACATACGCAATAGGCAGGAGTGGACATGAATTTTGTGCCTGTTGAAATGTATAGGCATACTTGTACAGGTTCCACTCCAGTGGCCTATCTAGTGTGTCCATGCTTGACTGCCATAAGGCTCAAGGGATATAGGATAAGACTCTGCGTGAGCAAAAGACACTAGCGGTCTGCACCTCTACCGTGTACGCCCTAGTCACTCTTTCACCCCCCCCCCCCCCCCGTGGGTTCAACTCCCCCCTCGGACGCCTCTGGGACACCTCTCGGGCATCTCTTATGGCATCCACTTTGGCTTAACTCCTCCGGGATACGGTGCAACAGATTCAACAAGCTCACATGTTCATGACATCGACATCGATAGAAGAAACCAAACAAATCATGCAAGCAGCTTTGTTTTGCCTCTGGGACACCTCTTGGGCACCTCTTATGGCATCCACACTGGTTCAACTCCTCCGTGGAGGTTTTGGGATACGGTGCAACAGATTCAACAAGCTCACAGGTTCGTGAACACATCGGATGCATCGAACAGTGTGGCAAAGTCCAGCCACGCTTCCTTAATTATCGGGGACTTCAATTCTAAGGTTGGCTGTGTCATTGTTGTTTGTGTGTCTTACATGTTCACAACGTTTTACCTCATGAGCATTTGCCTCACTCCGCTTGATGTCCCACCAGTCCGGATGCACCCCTGCTAGCTTTCGTCACCTACCCTCGGCCTCAAGTGTCCTTTGAAGAGAGGCCCAGTCAGATCCAGCCTCTTCCGGGTTGCTGCGGAGGTTGCAAAGTGGGTGCATTCAACTCCTTTGCCGGCCAGGATTTCTGAGGCGCTGCAGATTGGTCAAACTGCATTGTCGCACATTTCAATATGATTCCCAAGGCTCCTGAGCTTCCCCCGCTCACCCACAGTGACTTAGACTTACACCGTATACTGTTGGAGTTCCTCACTGCAACTAAAACTCCACTCGTACCTTCGTCCGTTCCTTCATGAGGCACGCTTGTACTCCTTGGAAGCCCGGCTTGCGGATGAGATGGATGCACGGCCCAGTGCTTGGGAACTTGTTCAGAGATCTTCAGAGCAGGGCTGGGAATCCTTTGGCTTTCGACCCGCAAAAACGAGCTCGAGGATTGCCTTCGAGTGCAAGGCGCAGCCAGTGGCGCAGCTGCGCAGCTGTCGTGATTGGACCAAAAACGCCTGTTTCATGGTGGATAGATGTGAATGATGCAGACTTGGCACCTGTCATTTGCTTCGCTTCGACCCCCGCTCGGCCTGACGCCGGTGCCGACGCCCTCGGAGGTTCGGAAGGGCCTGCAGACCACGCCCCGAGAGCCGAGCGACGACGTGACGGACCTGGCGCGGACGCCGAGCCGAGCGAAGAGTGCGACGCACGGGTGGAAACGACCCGGGGGTCCGGTGACACGACGGTTCTTGGGACTTGCCATATATCTATATATACCTATATACCCATTGACCCCCCGACTTCAACCACAGGGTGCAGCCCTGGCATCGGCTTTCTAGAGATGGCAGTCCCATTCGTCGTCAGTGGTGATTTGGGTGGGGACTCCTCCCCTTAGTAGCGTCCTTGCTCCTAGTATATAAGGGGAGTGGAACCATGGGGACCTGACCGATGCCGCGGACCTAGGTCCTGCCACAGTTGTCACAGGAGTCCTTTGGGCCAGGCGAGGCGGCGAGGTCCAACGGAGAATGCCAGAGGGATCGAGGTGTCAAACGGAGCAAGTTCATCGACCCAACGAGAGCCCCACAGATTTCTTGGGACACAATTATGAGGTGTTTTGGAGGATGACCTTATTTTTGAACAAATGGTCCATGTCTTTCTTCTTGCAACTTAAAGTCCAGGATCTCACCATGAGACCCTCAGGCTACGCCAAGAATGGCCCTCCGAGTGGACGCAGGCGCGCGGCGCGATCTCGAACCAGGGAAGGAAACGGCACGATGAAACGCCACCGGTGCTCGAGCTGCAGGCGTTTGGCCCGCTGAACCGTGCTGAGCCAAGCTATGCCGATGCGGTGTACATGCGCACTCCCAAACCGGAAGGCGCAAAGGAAGGCGCACCTGGTGTTTTTTGGGCCAGGGATGTACATCAAAACGAAATGTCAACGCTGCTAACTGCTAACTCTGCATGATGCATGTTGGTGTCGTTCCAAGCTGTTCACCAAACTGGTGCCCAGTGGGGCGGTATCGATCTGGAGTATCCGCCTTTCGTTCGCAACCTGTCCCAAACCTTTTCTGTACAAAGCGCGGAAGACATCGGACGACCGAAGATCGCACCGCCCGCGCAAGACGCGCGGTGAAAACCGCGGAGACCGAAGGATCCGATTCTCGGTGCGACCGAATCTCTCGCCCTAAGCAGTTGCAGGCATGGCATATTTGCCTACATCGGGGTGGTTGAACAGGGGTTCAATGTAGGATATTATATCATACATTTTACAAATATTAGTATGGGCCCGAGATATGATGTATTAATATAGTTTATATAATATGGAGTGTTTGAGTCACGAATGATTCCGTGTACACTCCTTGTTTGTGGAATTTGGCTTCTTTGGACGATGCTGTGTTTTTGAGGTCATCTGTTTATAATAGAAGAGTGTGACATTCTTGATGACAAGCATATTAGGTACAGAATTTAATTACAATTCTTATCATGCGCGGTTCGTAAGAATAGGGGTAACCTCTCCAAATTGTGTGACAAGCCGATCCATTTGCTTGTCCTCATCAACAATGTGTGCGGGTCAAAGCAGTCTTTTGGTGTTAAGACGTGCCATGCTGCCATGCCTCGCTCTACTCCAAAGAGGGCAGCGAGGAGAGCAAAGCGAGTGAAGCCTTGGACTTAAACCTAGTGAACATCGGGATACCTTGGGTTTGTCCTATTACCTGCAACAGTCAGTAAACAATTATTACTATTTTTGAACAAGGCCTTTACTAACCATCATCATCCACTGTTACAGGTATTAAGATAGACCCAAAGGATACCACAGTCAACATACATGATACAGACGCTTTTGGATCAGTTGATGAATGCACTTGTTTCTTTCGGCGAGAGATGATGGAGCTGTGTGTGTTTTGTGTGTTTTTTGTTCCGCCTTTCGCTGTGTTTCTTCTTCGACCGAGGTACTCTCCTTTGGATTGTGAATCTCTTTGGGGTTGGCAGTCTGATGATGTTGCTTCTGCCGTTGGGACCTCAAAAATCATACCGGACACCACCTCGTTTTGGAACGCGAGATTGATCTCGGTTTGGAACGCATTTCATCCATATGGATTTGCTTCATTCTGATCATATCTTATGGTATTCTCGTTTGGCGCTTCTCAGTGACTGGTTCTGGTCGTGTTGTTTTCCATGTGGGCTTTCAGTGTTTTTGCTTGGATGTCCCGGCGATCGTTCACCTGTTTTTTGGTGTTTTTTGTCCACCTGGTCTTCCAATGGCTTTTTCGGTCTTTCTTGTTTATGTGCGAAGCGATCTCTCACTGGGGTTTGTTCATTCTGATCATATCACGGTGGTGGGTGGTGCGTTTGGGTGTTTTTGTTGGTTGTCGGATGTGAGGTTGACTGGGAGAAGCTGCAGAAGGCATTTGACGACCTCACAGCTCCTGTACTTTGGGCCGAGCTCCCAAAGTGAACAAAGTGTGAACAACAGGGAAGGGTGAAGGATTAGGGATGTATTGTGTTGTTTTTAGCTGTCGTGTCAAGGGACCAACATCAATAGAGAATAGGAGGGAGAGGCCCCAACATACACGTGAGGAACTCAGGAGATTGTTTGGAAATCGTTGATGCCGAATTTCATTTGGGGGACACGAATATACACTGCGACTTATACAGTAAGGACCAGGATGAGATTGGCTGATGTTGCCGATTCTTCTCACTATCACCAAACAGACATTGCGTTCGTCGCAGTCGGATGTGCAGCTAGAAGAACGGTGCGGTACCGGGTCATTTGCACAGCGCCCAGGCGGAGAAGCTGACGTTTCAGAAGCTCTCCCAATCCCTACCCCTGAGCTTCGCCTCATCGGCCGGTTCAAAGATGCCCCTGCTCTCAATGCTCGGCATAGACAGGAGATGAATTGCGTTCATGACCAGACGGTCGTGTGCTGCATGAACTTCCCGTTTTGGCGCAGGACGGGGGCGGGTCCTTCACTCAAAGACTCTCCACACTTTGTGGTCCGAAGCTGAGTGGGCGCAGCCCGTTTGGTCCTGTCCTTTCGGATTGCGGTTTAGGGAATGCGTGATTGGGACCGTTCCTGGATGATGTTGTTCGGCTTCTACTATAACGAGTTTTCCACTTAAGAATTTATAAGTATAAGATATATCTTCAAAAATATTCCACGTGAAACCTAAGTTATAAGTTAGTTATAAGTTCCCCACGTTAACCTGCCCCCTTTTTTGTTTAAAGGTTGTTTTTTTTGGTTCGGTTGCATTTTTTTTGAGGTGAGGCTCGCCCACCCAAAACTTGAAAGTATTTTTGGCATTATTTATGGAACAGGGCGCCGAAAAATCAATCACACCAAACTTGCTGACCATGTGTGCGTTTTTTTTCTGTGGGCCCGCTCGCCCAGAAATTGCGTTTTGTTGTTTCGTTTTTTGTTTTCAAAGAGACATGCGTGGACACTGAAAGCATAATCGCCGCACTTTTTTTCCGCGTGTCCCCCCAGCGGTTCCTGACAGCAGGGCGAGCCTCTGCCATCACTTCAACTTGCGCACATAGTCCACCACGCGTGGCCAAACCTCCTTGGCTGGTTTCCCTTTCCAGCTGAAGGACTTGTCCTTTTTTTCACCTTCCTTTTTCACTCGCCAGCTGCTGCTATTCGGGCAGGTATAAATCACAGCCACACCAGAACGCATCGGATCTCTTTTTTTGATCCCTGGAAAACTGAGTGTTGTCTCGGTCTCAGGTTTTTTCTCTTCCGTGCTGTTCTTTTGTTTTTTGGCTTTTGGTTCATCATCACAATCCTCGGCTTTCTTTTGTTTCTTGTTGTTTTTGTTCTGAGCCAATTGGTCTCCAATCATAGCGGCCATCGCATCGATTGCTTTGGCCTGCGCAGGGACAACCTTTGGCTGCTGTTCTTCTTGAGTTTCCTCATCACCATCCTCCAAAGCTAGCTGTGGCGCTTTCCCGGTTTTTGTTTGCTTGTGGTCCAACATCATGAAACCTGGAAGAGCATTGTACTGCTTCCCATGGCCATTGGCCATCCCTCGCATCAACATATCAGCAAACCAAGTCTTGAAAGACTCGTCTCTTGTTGAAGTGCGACCCTTGTTGCCCCCAGAGACTGCGGTATGGGTACGCCTTGCAGGTAGATCGTTGCACAATCTCTGCAGGGTCATGATGTCTAAAGGACACTTCGCAGGTGTACCTTCTTGGTAAGCATGCTTTTTGATTTCATCAGGAAGCTTTGCGGGGTCATCTGGGTAGACCTGCAGTCCACTGTGTGTGACTCCTTTGCAAACATTTTTCAACACGTGCTTAAAGTCACTCAAGATTCCAAAGCCGTTGGAAACCTCATAGGTGAACTCGTCCGCGCATTCTTGATGACTAGCCAACACAAGGATAGCAATGCACATGACATAGGTAGGCTCCGAAGGAGATGTCAAACCCAGCAAAGCACACCGTTTGCTCAGCAACGCCAATTTTGTCCCAATCGTGTGCCTTTGGCTCTTCAATGTTTCCCACTCACCGGCAGTGAAATAGTTGTAAATGTGCAAATTTCTTTGCATACACACCCTCTTTTTTTCCCTCCAGTTTGTGGTTCTTGTACCGAAGACATCACCATCTCCTGGATGCATTTCGAAATGTCCTGTCTCATCCATTCAGGAAGCTTTGCTTCATGAACCTTTTCCAGCATGTTCGTGCCTTCCAGTGGAGAAAAACCAGGGCTTTGGCGAATATCAACCAAGCAACCTTTTAGTAGTCGCTGTTGCATATCAGTTGAATCCTTGTCACTTGTGAATTGCCTCAATGTGGCCAGAAAACCCAGCATATCTGAAAGCCTGTCTAATGCGCTGGCCATGGTGAATGAAAAAAGAGGCGAGCCTTCAATACAAATCCTAAAAATGTTGCGGAGTCGTTTGGCAATGTCAGAAATCACTGTGTTCGAAGAAACACAATGCATAAGATTTCAATCTACTTGAATGCAAAAAGGCCCATTTTTCTCTATAGAAGCTGTCTCCATCCCATTGAGGCAAATGTTTGCCAGCAAGCGAGCCTTGCTTAAATTTGGGAACCCGCTCAGCTCGAAGACGATGACATGAAGCGATATCGCATCGGTGCATTGGATCGCGGTGCATTGGATCGTTTGCTTTTTCCAGTGACCTTCTTGGCACTGGCCAGCGACTTCTCTTTCGCCTTCTTCATGGCCTTCATGGCCTTCATAGCTTTCAAAACTTTCATAGGCTTCACTTTTTTCATTGGTTTGGCTTTGGTATCTTGTGCAGCTGCCGCCTTCACTGCGCACTCCTTCATGATTCATGTACTTGTCAAAGTTGGCACAAGCTGTCAAATAGGCATCAGACCGCAATCCCAGCGCCATGGTTGTCTTCTTGAGATGTAGGCGAATTACATCCAAAATAGGATGCAGCACAGCAATCATCAGTGGCACCGGATACGCATTCCCTGAACCTTGTACCCGCAGGGTATCCGGTTCACCAGCAAGGACATCTTTTGAAAAGCCCTGCAGCACCATCCTTTCCTAGATTGCCAATTGAATATCAAAAGCATTACATAGATATATTTACACACTATATGATTATATCTATGATTAACATATACATATATATACACATATTTGAAAATTTGTTTAGTTATATTCATTTCCTGTGCTTTCTGACTAAGCATCCGTCGGTGATATCTGTATATGCGCTGAGTTGTTTTGTCGCTGTCTCTATCACCCTTTTAGTCCTGAACCCCAAAAAATGCGTGTCTAATGAAATGCTCAAGGGTCTGAAGGATGTAAGAAACGATGGAAGCCCTTCTTGGAATTCCCCTTGTTCACCGATGTGATGAAGAGATACCTGTTTGTTGTAGTGAGAGTCGGCACGATATTCACTGTGCATTTCCTTTGGTAAACCTTCCCTGTGGACCTGTCCAGAGGGATCACAATGATGTCGCCTTCCTTGTATGTCCCAGCCTTCACCATCTTTTTGACGTCCTTATCAGCATCTTCTAGGTTTTTTCGCATCACCTCAGTCAAAGTGGATGTGTCAATTGGTTCAAGGCCGTGGTCCAAGAACTCACTCAAATCACGTCGTCCAAATGGTGATAGCGGTGCAGGGATTCCAGCTGCAATCGTAGTCCTTAGACCTCTCAGAAAGATACGGGTCCGCTGCTGTGCCAGCAGGTAGTCACAGGCAGAAAGTTCCACCTTATCCCAATGGAATTCTGGGACTTCTTGCCGGAGAATGAAAAGCATCTGGTCCAGGAAGGATTCATGCTGGCCAGGAAGCTTGTTGCAAATTCCGCGCGCGTTCTCCAAAATTGCTGCCTTGAGCTCGCCCGACTTGGCCAATGCGATGACCATCCTGACAACTGACAGGAAGACCTCCGCTCTCATGTCCATTTGGCCGCCGTGGGACCCATTTCCTGCCCACGGCGGGCAGGGTGGTCCGGAGCACAACAGGTCAACCGGCCTCTCCAACTCATCGATGTTGATTGAATTCACATCCCCATGGTGCCCCACGTGAATTGCACAACCTGGTAAATGAGCTTCGAGGTAAGGTCCATATCTTGCCTCCACATCCATCACATTGTTCGCTTTGAATGGCACAGACATCATTTGAAGGGCAGTGCCACAGCCATCGATTCCACAGCAGGGCATACTGACGTGAACGCGTCGAGGAAAGCTGCCCAAGCATGGCACAAGCGAGGCCCAGTCATTGGGCTGTGGGGGCGAGCCTCCCACAGTGCAAACCCCCTTTTTTCCCACCATGGTGTGGGCCTGGAAATGGCAAATCCTAAAGTTGCAATCAAAACCAAATGCATATAGAAAAAACATTTGCACATTTAGTATGTTTCAACTCATTTGTGACATCAAATGACAGAATGAATCAAATTGGCACCAGGACTGTTCTTGATAAATGCGCAAGCCGTCAAATCAGCCCACCTTTTTCCCAAAGATCTGAATTCGGCCGCAATACTGGCCGCAATGTATGTCATAATTGAACACCTCAGGCATCTAATGCGTTGGCATACCCAACGCAATCAACCATGAGGAAAAAGCAGGAAGCTTCAAATTTCTGCATCGCAGGCGAGCCTTGCAAGCAATTATGCAGCAGCAGGGGATGGCTCTTCGTTCTGGCCAGAGGTCAAGGAGGCAGAGTTTGAGTCTCCATCAACTCCATCATCATCACATTGTCCATGGTATAGCTTGCAAAAATCACAAGAGCACTCTGGTTTGTGTTGGTCTTGCTCCCACCATCCTGGAAACAACCTGTCGAGCTTCTCACCTAGCGACTCACCCGGCTTTGTGTTGGTTTGGCTGTCGGTTGTAGCCACCTTAGGTTCTTCATCTTCAGATGAAGAGTCAACCTCCCCGAAGATCAAGGTCCGCTTCTTCAAAATGCGCGGTATTTCATCCACATGGATTGGCTGGCTTCGCTTCAAGCCGCGCGACATGGCCATTGTGAACAGTTATAATGATTTGCTTGCGAAAGGGAAAATGTGCAAAATAAAAATATCACACAATTGTCGTGTCACTGACTGTCTTTATCACCCTTTTTGAGTGCGTGCTTGAACCCACCATGTGTTCTATACCACTCTGCATGCTGCTGGCTTGAATCAGCGCAACACAAATTCACAGCTATGCCATGGTAAAATGAAAAATGCAGTGAATGAAGCAATGCAATGGATCATATGGAGAAGCTTGCATACGATGTCGTTATAATATATTCTAATTTATCACTTATTACTGTTTCCCTGATGCCCTCCCGGGGTTGTTGTTTGTTTTTTGTAGACCTCCCCCATGACTGTTTCTCTGAGGCTCGCCCAGGGTTGTGGTCTCTTCCATGACTGTTTCCCTGAGGCTTGCCCAGGGTTGTTGTTTGTTTTTTGTAGACCTCCCCCATGACTGTTTCCCTGAGGCTCGCCCAGGGTTGTGGTCTCTTCCATGACTGTTTCCCTGAAGCTTGCCCAGGGTTGTTGTTTGTTTTCTTTGTGGTTTCTTCCATGA